TCTTTTTTTTTTAAGATTTTATTTATTTATTTGACAGAGAGAGAGAGACACAGCAAGAGAGGGAACGCAAGCAGGGGGAGCGGGAGAGGGAGAAGCAGGCCCCCTGCGGAGCAGGGAGCCCCGATGTGGGGCTCAAAGATCTGCCAGTAAAGCAGAGGTGTCAGGAAATTATGGGAAAAATTATGATATAAGAGAACAGGCTCTTTTGAAGTATCCGGGTATTTGAATTATATGAAAAATTGTCCTGTGTACCCAGTGCACTTTTGGAAAGGCCAGAGCCTTCCACAAGGCTTTTGGGAGAGCTGGGCAGGGAAGTCTGGTTTGGGTCTGCCCCTTTCCCAGAGGTACAGATTTCCCCAGGTCACCTGGCTGTGGACACTGCAAGAAGCCTAATCTGGAAGGCGAAGTTCACTTTTCCTGCTGAGCCAGGCAAGGCTAGTGTGGTGCAAACCAGGGAAAGGACCCAGGAGTTGGGTAAAGGACAGTTACCAGGGCACGGTTGTCCCATTTTCAGAAATCAGGATTCCTGGGTCTTTATTAAATTATTTTTCATTCAAGTCCCAGGGTTTTTAATAACGGAGTAAACGTTGACCCCACCAAGCCATCCTGCACAGATGGGGGCTGGGGGAGGACCTGCTGGTGAGAGCCAGTGGTGCCTTATTATGGTCACTGTGGTCATCCTTGGAAGTGAAATTGGGCAGACAGTAACTTCCTGGGGTTAAGAAGACACCTCTGTGGAGGCTGAGGGGCTGTGATCCTGTTTGGGGGATCAGGATATGTGGAATTTAGTCACTTCCTTATGGGGAGACCAGGATAAGCCCCTAATTCCTACAGCCGAGGAGGAGAAATTAAAGGTCATCCCTTTTTTGCTGAACAGAGTTTGCAGGGAAGGGTCTCCAAAGCCTCTTGGGGGGGGCCTGGGCCCTGAGGGGCTCTGGGGCCGGGCGCTTCCCTCGCGCTTGGGGTGGAGGCCTCCAGAAGCTGTGCTTCCTGACACCTGCGGGGACAGCGCAGGGAGACCCAGAGTGCCTACGCGGGGACTTTCCAGGCCACCCACTCGCCGCAGTCCGCTTGGGGGAATTTTGTGGTCCCAGGGAATGGTCCCCAAATTCGCTGAGACTAGGCGAGGTTCCCCATCCCGCGCATTCCGCTCTGGCTTCGTGTCCCGCACTCCCCGCCCGCAGCGGGCAGGGGCCGGTCTGGCCTGCAGGAAGGGAGGATAACTGATGTGCGGGCAGCGGGACCCACAGCTCACCCCGCAGGGGTGGCAGCCGGTGCGCGAGTGGGCCTGGAGCCTGGGGCCGCCTTCTCCGCTGGAGGCAATGGGGCGCAGGCTGAGGACAGCAGTCGCTGGCCTTCTCCACGTCGCGCCTGGGCGGTGGCGCGAACTGGACAGTTGCTGGCCCGGCCCGAAGCAGAAGGACTCCAAGTAGCCGCTGAGGGTTCTCCCACCCGGCACTTAGCGCTGAAACCTCACCCGGCTTTTCTACTTTCTCCGGAATACGCAGAAGAAAGCCTGGGATTTCTGGGGTCACGCAGCAGAGCCAGGGACACAGGAGAGGAGGCTTCGCTGAGCCGAGCCACCTTTCCCCTGGTGCGCTTTCTGAAACACTTGCGAGCTTCAGGGAGGTGGTGGGGGAGAAGCAGGATGTCTTTGGGGGGGCAGTTAAGAACTGGGGAACCCTAATTATGTGGCAACAGATACCTTCCAGTTATCGTCAGTACCTACAAGACTCCCACCGCCTTCGGCCCCTCCCCCGCCCCGCTTCGGGTGCGTTAGGAGCTTGTTCTGGGGAAGGCCCCAGGTAAACCCTTCCCAAGCTGGAGCACTAGGATCGGAAGAGGGACCGCGCTCCCGAGGCGCCTCTGAGGGCTGGGGAGTCCGAGGGATTACGTGAGGTTTAAAAACAACCAAAAAACCAAAAACTTTTTTTATGCAGAAAAAGCTGCCTCCTGGACGGCTAGGACATTTCGTCTGGGCTTGTCTTTAGGAAAATGCATAGTTGCCGGCGACACAGTGAAGGGCGGGAGTGAGGGAGGGTCCTTGGGGGAATATTTACAGGTCAAATCGATATCCCCGTTTGGCTTCGAGGATGGCAGGTTTCAAAGCAGATTAGATTACTTTATGGCATTTCAAATAAAACGGCAATTTCGGAGCCGTGAGCACGTGGGCGACCCACGGGAGCTATGGGCCTGGCGAGCTCAGCGCGCACTGGGGGCGCTTGGACCCGAGGCCTCGGCCGGAATATCTCCTCTGGCCTTTTTTTCTCTTTAATCCAGGGCAAAGGGGCGATGGCAAGAACACAGACGGCGGCCTGAGGGGCCCGGGAGGCGGCAGGCGGGACGCTCGGGATTCCCGCCGACCAGGGCGCGCGGTGCGGAGGTTCCGCGCGCTCTGCGGGGCGTGGGGCCTCTCGATTGGCGCTGCCGTTTACTGATTTGCTTTATTCCCCGGTCCAGGTTTAGGAGACGCGTGGGGACAGCCAAGCCGCGCGGGGCCCCTGGACAGCGTCGCCAAGGAGCTGGGATCGCACTTGCTTCAGGTAAGGCTCCTTTGAGCGGGGGAGGAGCGCAGCCGCTGCCTAAGGCGAGGACCCGCGCCCGGGTGGGGGCTCCCTTCTGACCCCGCCACTCCAGTCTCGAGATGTCCCTCCCCAAGGAGCCCAGGGTGGATCCATAGGCCACCATCAGGCTGCAGAAGTCGCCGAGGCCAGAGGCAGCTGCTGGACCTCGAGGCAATTGTTTACCTCCCCACCCTCTGACCGTGCATCCTCTTTGGAGGCCGGGACCGGGGGTGGACTCAGCTCAGAGTAACCTCTGGCCAGCCCCACCCCCATCGGGCATGTCACCGTGTCCCAGCCCCAGTACTCACCAGCTCACCAGACCTAGGCCTAAGGACGCCAGTGGGCACGCGGTTCTTTCCAACCTCACTTCCCTTAGCGAACTTCTGTGGAGCGCTTGCTCTGTTATAGACGCTGTGCCAGGCGCTTGAGCCAAAGAAGGAATGATCCAGCGGAGGCTCTGAGCCAGAGTGTGGCAGTCCTAAAGCCTTTGACAATCGTGTATGTTTGGAGGGGGTGCAAGAAAAGACAGTATCTATAATAGAATATTAACAGTTAGCATTTATTGAGAGTTTACTACGACCAGATTCTGTTTTAAATCTTATTGTGTCAGGGTGCATCACCACCCATCTAGAGTAGGTTCTATTTTGAGCTCCATTTTTTCAAAGGAGGAAATTGAGGCACAGAGAGGTTAAGCAACATGCCTGAGGTCACACAGCAAGTGCTGGAGCCTGGTTCAACCCAAGTCCTCCAGTTCTTGAGTGCTCCAGGTCGGGACCTGGTGTGGCCTCCGGGGTCACCTGGCTCACGGAGGGAGCCCTTGCTTGGTTTGTGGTCAGCCGCTTATAGCCCTCAGCTCGGAGTCATTTAGTCCAGGGTTGGTAAACCGCTCCTGGCCTGGGCTTTGGCCCGCAGTGTCTGCGGCTCTGGCCGACTAAGCGTGCGCACAACCGGCCATTTCCAAGTCAGCGGCTGGCGCTAGGTGGGGACAGCAATGCCTCTTGTCTCTGAATCTTTCAAATGCCCTTTACAGAGCCTCATCAACGACCCGATTCATTCCCCCCACCTGTCATTTGTCTCTGCCATCAAAAAATGCTTACCAAGAGCTGTTTTGCATTTCCTCCTTCTATTTTGTGTTTTCTTTACAAGAAAAAAAAAATAGGTTGGCGGCAGTACGCAATGACTTGGGTCAGCAAGTCAGCCAAGAACACCGCATTTTGAAAAAAGCGGATCTTTTCAAAATCCCTTTCCCCAAATGTCCTAGTACGATTCCCCCCCCCCTTTTTTTTTAATGCGTGCTCCGGGGAAGAGAAGATCCCGGGGAATATTTGATACCTGAAGCTTTTACAGCAGAAAGCGAACGATGTGGTAGCCAGGCGGGGAAATGGCGCTCTTGGAGTCCTTCCCGCGCCCTGAGCTCACCCACTCGCTCCTTCCAGCTCCGTGCGTGGTGGTTTGCTTGTTTGATACTCCTACATATTATAAGTGACACTAACATCAGGGACAACTCAGTGAAAACCTGGCGGGCACAGGTTCCTCCACTGTGCATTTCTTTAATTCCGGAATGCTGTGCCGACGGGCTTGTTTACCGTTAATATACATTCAAGCGAATTAGGTCATTGGAAGCTATGAAGACATACCCAACATTTTCCATTAACGATATTATTTTTTTAGCTACTGCTGGCAACTTTCAGAATTTAATTATGATAATTTTTTTCTTTTTTTCTCATATGGCTGTCAGATACTGTTTCAATAAATGTATCTCTTTAATGATTTTGGAGTTAAGCAAAAGTTTAAAATGTGCCAAAACGTTTATAACTTTAGAAATTGCTGTATAGTTTATATTTCTGAAACGGAATTTAGTTGGGAAAATATTTTGTAGCTGAGTTAGAAACGAGAAAGTAAGGCTTATAATCAAGATGTTGATTTCAACCTCAGTGTAGGTTAGGGTGATGATAGTTTAGTTGGCAAAGGATTTTTACAGTAAAACTGTATTTGAGACGGCAGAATGTATCTTTCAAGTTTCACTTCTACTACATTCTTTGTAGATCCCCCTCCAAAAAGGGGGCAGATTTAGAAAAACCGAAGGTAATCTGGTTTCAATTACATGCTGTAAAAATAGAATTTGTGGCCAGAAATTAATTTGGAATATTTTTTATGGGGGCAGCATTGTGGGTTGTATGGATCTTTCACCAACTTTATTGCTTTTCTTTGGTTCTGGATCTAAAATATGAATGGGTAAATAAAAATGCAGTTTCCTTTTTCAAAAATAATTTAGTCTTTTTATCCTTGCCACATATAAATATAATCATTACCTTTTTATTTGTCTTAATTAGCTCCTAAAATTTTACTTTATTTTTTTGAGGGCTAGCCAACTTAGGCAGTATCATTTAGGTAGTTTTAATTTTTCAGAAATTGATACTTTTTCTCCTTGAATTTTGCAAAGGTTACTTGATCTCTTGCAAATTCTAAGTAGTTAATTCTGTAGACATAGTCTGTTAAAATAACCGGGTATTTTCAGGGGAGTGGTAGTGTTCGGAATTTATTATTCAAATAGTACTTAGGGGTAACTAGAAAATTGTGGCAAATAAAGCATATGTCCTAGTGGTATAAAGGACTGCCAATTATGACATAAAATGGTCTATATAGTGGTAGGTTTCCCCCTAAGTACGATAGAACTCCGGATTTGTGCTAAGTGCTAAAATAACCCTAAACAATAAAACTACTGCATTTAAACTGAGCATGTTAGGAGTTCTCAAGTGTTTTGCATGATTTTTGTGATGTGGATATAAGATTGTTTTTAAAGTGCTTTAAAAGCATTTGAGAGCCTGGGCCCGGGAATTAAACCTTCAGTGTTATAACCTGGAATCCTTCTTATGGCCCTGGGCTCGTTTTGCATTTAACAACTATGTATGGATGATAATATTTTATACATTCCTCCACCTCAGTGACAGTACAATTATGAGATTTCAGTCTACTGTATTAACTACCACCTCTTCCCCTGGCACTCTCTTTTACAGACTTTGGATGGATTTGTTTTCGTGGTAGCATCTGATGGCAAAATCATGTATATATCGGAAACAGCTTCTGTGCATTTGGGCTTGTCTCAGGTAGGTATTACCTAATTTTATATACAACCAAAATATAAAAGTAAGCGTTGGCGGATCTTGACCGTCTTACCCAACTTGTAAATGATTCTGTTCAAGCGTCTGCTTTTGTGTATGAAATAATCCAAAACTGCAAAATCATCTTCTTAGGCCATCCCGCTGAGCTTTTCTTCATGTTGCATTTCCCGGTTTTACTTTCTTTTTCCTTTGGGATTAATGACCAGTATATCTTTGCAACAGTCAGCTTTGTTCTGAGATTCTGTCTGATAGCCTGGACTCTGCTTCTACAGTAACACTCTGCCACTAACAAGAGCTTCACAAAGGGAGATTTTTCTGTCCATGCTTGCTGGGCTGCACGTGGTATTGTGAGTTGCCATGAAAGCAAGAGGAAAACTGATGTTGAACATGGATTTTATGCAGACTGTGCTTTGGGGAGAGAGAAGGGGGGGTAGATTTATGAGTGTTCACATGGAATTCAGGGTAATTTTTCCTGAGTTTTTCCAGTTCAGTGGTCGCTTCAGTAAAGCATTTTATATGCTTGTGATAGAAACTCATAAAACTCAGTTTACTACTGTTTTGCACAGCAAGGTCCTGTTTTCTCTAGAACATTTAAATATTACCGATTTTTCTGGAACTGTCTTTTAAAAAGGGGTTCATCCCGTCAAGGAAAGAGGTGCACTCAGCTTTATCTATTCCGGTCAAGCCAAGGGTTTGGCGGGGCGGGCTAGGGGGGTGCGCGGAATGCTGTCTGGGCTCCTCGGAATGTGGGGAGGGGAGGAGTCTGATTGTGGCCCTTCACATTTCTGATTTAACAAGCCTGGATGGAGGTTCTAAAAGTCACATTTTTATATATATCTAGGGATTAAATGTTTCTTTATATTGTGACTTATCAGAGTGCTTTTTTTCATCACGATTGAAGACATACTAGAATTAATTAGAGACAGGAAATGGGCTCCCAGGAGGCAGATGAATAATCTGTATTGCACCAGCTGCCTCTGTAGTTAAGCCAAAATAAAACCTGCCAATTAATGGCGCTGGGGTTTTTTTCATGGAAAAACAAAATTACCAATTTGGAAATCTGCATCTGGTGTATTCCTTTTCTTTTTCTACCATTGCATTTTTTTAAACTTGCCATTTATTTACAACCTTCTCTTCCAATGTGTGTATATCCTTATCCATGCCCAAGGGGGTTTCTGTGCCTCTGTTTCTTATGTAAAGTCCTTTAAAGAGAATCTCATATTAAAATTATTTAGTGTTTCCTTTTCTCTTCCTCTTCTCTTTCTTTCCGAAACCAGGTCTCCCAGCTAAGATTTGCTAAGGTTTGGCTCTTATACTTCCATGACTAATGGCATTAGTATACTCGTAGAACGGGAAATACTGTTGGGAACATGAAATGTACTATTTATATATTTTCCAAGGTTGTTATGCTCTGAATTTCCACCTTGCCCTATTTAGAATTATTTAAGGTCCTTTAGTTGTAACCAGTCTGGTGTCTAGCCGTCGTTCTGTCTGTGGCTGAATGATTTTGAGCAGATTACTTGATTTTTCAATTGTAATTTATTGAATCTTTGGTTAGTCTTAGAATAATGTCACAAACAAGATAAAACATTTCACCTCCTTTAAAAAGGACTGGTAAAGATAAAACAGGTACAGTCACTATTTTCAGATATTAAATTTAGATCTGAGCTCCCTAGCAGTCAAAGCAAAAAGGGAAATGCCCAGTTATATGGTTTTCATTGTCTGATAGGTCAGGTACTTAGCCTCCCTGAACCATCACTTAAATAAGAAAATCCTGCCCGCTCTACCTCTCTTTCAGGATTGTGGTAAGAACTATATCAAAGTGCCCATTTTATGTCATTTATAAATAATAGGGAGCTGCACAGAATCCAGGTATCCCCACAGTTTCATTAGAACTATACTTCAAGTAGCACAAAAGTTCCTTCAAATAGTGTCCGTTGCTGGGCACATGTTGGGGCTGCGTAGTCCTGTGGAATGTTCTGGCACATCATAAGGCCCTGTGCACATCCCAGGACTCCAGTTGCCTCAGTCAGGCTGCTCAGTCTAGCATCCTACAACTCTCTCTCTGTCATTTTTCTCTTTTTATGTGGGAAATGAAATTGACCGTTTATGAGCACAATAATTAAGAATGAACAAAATATTGGATAGGTGACAAATCTGCCTCCTATTCATGATGAACTCCTGTTCATGATGAATCCCAATTAAAACTATATTTCCTTTTGGTCATAACGCAGAAATAAAACTTGGAGTCATAATTTTGAAAAGGGAGGGAGTTCTACACACCATCATTTTTCAAGAATGTTGTAGAGATGCCTTTTGTCTATATGTTGCTGGCCGGGAGAAGTGTCAGTTTAAAAAAAGATAAATCAAACTGACTGTAGAGCGACTGATGTTTTTTTCCCCCTGATCGCTTGGCGGGACTGTCTCACCATCAGTCTCCAGCTATGAAAACACTTTAATGCAGACGTGAGCCCTGGCTAGGGTCTGGGGAGTGTTCCACGCTGAACTGTTTAAATAAGCAACAACAAACCTTTCCCTCCGATCTGTCTCCTGCTCACGATTAACTCTGCAGAAGGAAATCTAGGCAGAATCACAATGTGTATTTTTTTCTGTCTTCTTTACTTAAATAGTAAAATGAAGTATTGAAAAGGATGTCAAATACCCAGCTTCTCCTTTAAAAAAATTTTTTTGTACCTTTTAGATTATTTTTATTAGTAGTAAGAAGTCAGGCAAATATGTCAAACATGAAAATTTTATTAAAATAGGCTTAAGGATTTTTTTTAAATCCTCAGAGATGAAAGTGTTAAGAAAATTCTATCCAGTAGGCCGAGTAGCCCTTTAAACAGATTTTCTGATGAATAACGATAGTACTGATAGCTTTTATTTACATAGTATCCTTCTGTGGTCCAAGAACTTTCAATTATTCTCAGTGACGTTATCTCATTAAGTAACATCTTTCACATTAATTCAGGGTTAAACTCTATGTTAGCAGCTCCTGGGGAACCTAAGCTCCTAGGTTTGTCATAATTGTTTGATAATTCACAGCAAAGTGGTGGTGGTGTTTCTTTTTTTTTAAATCTACACTATCTAAATAACTATCTGAGTGATGTATTTGAGAGTATAAAAGTCATTCTTTATGTGTTATAAGCCCGTCCTAATCCAAACTCTTTCATTGAACTTTTTAAAAACAAGTGTGGGAGTAAGAAATCTGGTAGAGTTTATTATTTTTGCTTTTGAATTAGTAAACAGGGTGATCCCCTGTCAGACTTTCGGACCAAAGAGTGACAGAGATGACCACGAATTGCAAGTTGTCTCCTCAGCTCACGGTCCCAGTGTGGGGAAACAGAGTCAGGCTACAGGCTTGAAAATCGTACTTGGTGTGTGCACACACAAATAATAGGTAATGATTCATGTGGTCAAAAGGTAGAGCTGGGGAAGCACTCTTTTTCCACACAGGTTTATTAGGTGGTTAGTTCCACGGTTCTTTGGTTAATGTGATTAACGTACTTATATTGGAAGAAGGAAAAAAAAGCCCTGTATACCTGCTCTGTATTTCCGCAGACTCTTTCAAGCATCCCCGTGGTTTAAATTTCTTCACCAAAGCCGCATACGTTATATAGCATCTAGGTAACTAATACAAGTTTTCAAATAACTATAGATATGTGTGAAATAGCCTTTTATGAGACATATAAAGGAAAATGTAATATTTGAGATTGTGGCCGGAACCACAGCCGTAAAAATAGCCATGGCATTGTTTGGGGCCATAAGACCTAATCCTTGCACTTTTGAAATAAAGAGAAAGGACAGCGTTTTATGTTTGTTGACATAACTCGAACTCTGAAATCCAAACCATCTTTTTTTTTTTTAATGCTTAATTTACCATAGTCAGCAAAACACCCAAAGCAGAGTAATGTGTATTTCCAGAGTACTGGGTGACTTTCCCCTTCCGACCCAGAATATGTCCATTTAGTGCTGTATTTATCAGATGTAGTTTTCTTAGCAGGAAGGAAAGCTATTCAGCAAAACATAAAAACACTCTTAGTAGGAAAGCAATTCATTTTGTAGTTAGCAGGGTTTTACAAATACTAAAATATCACATTGAGGGTCTGTTTTAATACGGTTGATGTATGAGACCTGGGGAGTTTTATAGCGACAGCCATAATTTTTTTTTTTTTTTTTGTGAGGTAGTCACATTTCTTTCAACCATTCAAAAGCACGAATAGATATGTAAATACAGGAAACACCATGTCAACCATAATTTTAAGTCAAGGTCAGCACTGTTTTATCATTCCAAAATTTGTTCTTTAAAAACATTTCCGTTATTTGAAGACCATTTTACTTCCTGGACAGCCTTGGAGTTTATAACTGAACCAAGGATTCAGAAAATCAAGCCTCTTAATTCATAGACCTTCTCTCTTATTCTCCAAATGCATGTGGTGAGAATGGGGTCTTTGAAGACAGACGAAGCTGCTTTGGGATTAAAACGCGAATCGAATCCCTATAAGGACAGATGCAAGTATATAAATATACTTTCTCTAAAAAGACATGGGGTACTTTTTTCTGATTAAGAACTTGGTGCAAACCAGAATGCTCATTTTTTCCCCTAAGAACATGAGTAAGGGAGAAATGATAGACCCACACACACACAAAATCTATCTTGTTATGTTTTCATTTTAAAAATAAGCTGTTGAAGTGTGACTCGATTAAAAAAAAAAAAAAAAGCCCAGCTCCCTTATTGATTTGCCTCTGTCCCTCTCCACCTGACAGAGCTTACCAGGAATCTCCATCACTGACTTCAGGGAAGAGGAGATGGTCCTGTCCCAAATGGCTGACTTAACACTTGCTGGTTTATCGAAATTTTTTAAGGATGAACAGAAATGATTTGAAAGAAGACTATTTAGTTCTTAATCCTTACTGTTTTTAATGAACTCGCGTAATAACTTTGGTCATAGGCAAATCCCCTTTTGGGTCAAGTGGGGAGGGAGGGAGGCTTTCTGTAACAGGATTCTCTCCGTTCCTCTGTAGGCATAATATTGGCAAGAAACATTCCATGAATAATGCAGAAAACAAAACTGCGAAAGCCGGTTTAGGGACAAGATTACTTAGCAGGCCAGAAACAGAATTTGTTCTGAATAAAATGGCAACTCCTACGTCTTAACAAATTGGAAGACCTGGCTCAGAGGAGGGGGGTAAATTCCTTCACCCCTCCGTGGCCGCTCAGTCGCAAGGAAGGAGCTGATGGCCTTGATGCTAATTTGGAACAGTGGCTCCCAGCAGAACTTGTCCATGAAATTGCCTGTGGTTGTCCCGCTGCATGAGGTGGCCCGGTCAGAGCGGCCCCTTGACAGGAGATCGTGTTGGCTCCGCTCTGAGGGAGAGCAGTGAGCCTCCCAACAAAACACGAGGCACGACACACTTAAAAATAACAAGGGGGTGGTTGGGGACAAGGCCCTCACAAGCCTGCCTTTGCTCTTTTAGCCTGCCCTCTCCCCGTGGGGCAGAGCTGAGAAAGACTGAGTCAGACCTGCCCCGGTTCCCTGCCACCCGAGGGCAGTTTCTCACACACTCTCGGCTTCCCCCCCACCCCCGGGCTTTGGGGCTCCTGCGGGCTGTGATGGAAGAGCCATCACTGGCCTGGGCTCCTGATCAATACTGGGTGCTCTCGTCTGCACCACTGCATCTCTAAAACAGGGTCCACCCACCACTGCTCAGAAGGCCCTTCTGATGGTCATAGTCTCCGGAACATTCTACGGCACTGCCCAACTTGGGATGACGGGTCAGGGGGTCCAGGTCTTGAGACTCTCTAACATCCCCTATCATGGCACTTACTTTTGGGAGAACAATAGGAAAGTTCTCAAGGTTCGGTGTCGAGTCACCAGGAATCTCTGTGGAAAGGTCCTAATGCTGGTGTTTTCCTAGAGACCCCCGTCCCTGCAAGGGTCCTGTCCAACACGCACATAGGCTCTAGGCCTGCCATCGTGTCCTCTGCAGGGTGTGCCAGGAAGTAGGCGGCATCCAAGTGCTGGGGTCGCGACCCCCGGAAATAACCACCGTGTCACATGGCCGTCTGGAGTGGGCCCAAACGTCCCCGCAGTTCACGCAGCCACCCTGCCGCACCCGTGGGCGGGAGCCATTGGGTAACGGGTCATCCCAGAGTCAGAAGGCCAGGGACACGTTTCTGGCAACGGGAAGGAGGCTCGGCGGTGCCCGAGGAAGGGCCTTTGTCGGGGTGCGAGCCCTCCTCACGTGCAGGGGAGCCCCCATGGCTCCCACCTGCTCAGCCTCGGAGAGGACGTGACTCTCGCAGGGACCACATCGTCTGGACTTGGCAGCTGGTGTCCCGGCTGGCCAGGCCCCTCAGGCAGCACGGGCGTGTGGGTGGAGGGCCAGGCCCCGGCTCCGGTCTGCTGTAAGTGGCCTCCTGTGTAAAGGATACCGCCCGGGGCCATGGGGGGGCACCCACCTCCACGGCTCACCTTTTCATCCTTCCTGTCCCAGTTCCTCCTGCTCGGGACTGTCGTGGCTTTCAGCTCGCGTCCCCACGTGGGAGACGGTTCAGCGCGCTGCTTGATCAAAGACGCGTGTTTCTGCGTGTGGAGAAGGTGTGCGCTGTGAGCAGAGGTCAAAGCTCTGTCCCTCGCGGTCCGTAGCCATTGTCCACCTTCCCCTCCCCACCCGCGCAGCCCCCTAGAGGATTTCTGACCCTTCCCTTCCCTCTGCGGCAGGTGGAGCTCACGGGCAACAGTATTTATGAGTACATCCACCCTTCCGACCACGACGAGATGACAGCAGTGCTTGCGGCCCACCAGCCCCTTCACCATCACCTGCTCCAAGGTATTTCCTCCAGACGAAGACACCAGCATGAAAACCAGACGAAGCTCTTGGATGGGACACGAGGGTTTTGCTTCCCATGCTGCCCAGGGGAAGTGTGCGGGACTGGAGCGGCCCAGCTGGTTTCTCATGCCAGAGACCATGATGGGCGCTGGCTGGTAGGGGGTAAAGGAAAGCGGTCAAGATGTGCTCTTGGTTTAGAATTCCAGGAACACAGGTCTAGACCTGGGCTTTTTTTTTTTTTTTTTTT